GCAATTATTAGAATTATTTACATTGTTGGGACTGATGTCCTCATTTTTATTGCCATATTCACCTTTAAAATCTGTCTCTGTTTCTGAGATGGGGTATTGTAATTATTTACATTGTTGGGACTGTTTTCCTCATCTTTATTGCCATATTCATCTTCGAAATCTGATCTGTTTCTGAGAAGAGGTGTTGTAATTACTTACATTATTTACATTGTTTGGACTTTTGTCCTCATCTTTATTGACATATTCACCTTTAAAATCTGGCCGTTTTTTGAGATAAGTTATTGTAATTATTTACATTGTTTACATTGGAGAGTTGAGTTAAAAACGTAGACATCCAGAAGAGGCATAACACCTGGAACTAGAAACTGAAAGGGTCCGCTTCGAAATTCTAATTATCTGACGAAGTCCGGAGCGTACCACGGCCGAAACGTCGTGAATATACCAATAAAGATGAGGAGAGCACTCTGAACAATGTAAATAAGACAAATGTTATATACAAGAGACTTTTTTTTTTGCCCTTTCTTTTTTGTTATCAATTTTTTCGTTTTTTGTTATAAATTTCCTTTTCTTATGCCAGTTTTATCGCACTAATAACAAGATCGCCCGTTATTATGTTAAAATGAAATCTAGTCATTTATTGCTGATAGAAATCTTTCCTCTATTATGATATATTTATTAGTTTATTTTGTGATCTCAACGAATTCTCATTGACACTTTTCTGGTGCCTGTTGTAGTAGAGACGTTGTAAACGCCGACACACCTATCGTAACGCCATTAAACATTATTGGTGTCAGACGCCTTCGAATAATACTCGGAGTAATAGTACTTGCTCTATAATACTCACTAGAATAGTAACAAATGAATACTAATCTGTTTAGTGATCAGTATAGAGAATAGTGTAGAAATAGGGAATAGTATAGAGAATAGCGATCTCTATAATAACAGAAGACTAGAAAAAATGATCAGTATAGTAATAGAGGATAGACTAGAAATAGTGATCCGTATAGTAATAGAGGATAGACTAGAAATAGTGATCCATATATTAATAGAGGATAGACTAGAAATAGTGATCCGTATATTAATAGATGATAGACTAGAGATGTGTGATCGATTAGATGTCACGTCACTTTCTATTTATGCGTTCTCTCTATGGTCATGTGATCTACTTAATTCGATAATGGGATCGCCTCTTTTTACTTACTGGCGATCTATGTTCAAACTCAAGTGTCGGCAGCGACACTTTATTCCTAGATAACAGTAAAAAAAATGCCGGCTTTATTTAAACAATTTCGCAATTGCCTTGTTTATATTTTCTGTATAGTCTTGAATTTTTATCGACAGAATTAGATCTATTGCAATATATGAAAGAATTATTTCCTTTTTAAATTATTAAAGGTAAAACTATCGAAAGAAAGCTAACCCGAAACATAAGAATGTATTAGCAGCCTGATCTCCCCTACTCATTATTGCGATATTCCAGTTATATCAATACGAGCTATAGTCGCTTAATGGAGTCGTAAAAGCCTTCTAGTTATGACTATAAGAGATAAGAAGGGAAGATCTGTATGCGCCAACAATAAATTCTCTTCACATTTTCACTGGGTAAAACAGCAAAATTATCCAAATCGTGTAACAGCAAAATCGTCTAATTGTTAGATTAAGATTTTAACCGTTGTATCTTAGAAATGATTAAAGATATCTTAGTGGAATTCTCCGAGGTTTTTATACTACCACTGGACTCTACTTTGACCAATAAGAATGTATTTAGCTCTAATTTGAAATGATGATCCCTCTTCCGGTTGTGACCTCTTGATTCAGTTCTCCTCTCTACTGCACCTTTTTTTGAACTTATTCGCCTTTGTCTTGATGGTTCTTGAATGGATTTCGAAAATCATAGCCAGAGTATGAAGGTTGGTACCATTACGGTAGGTCTGAATGATTTTTTCCTCTCACCTTTGCTCAGCTGGAAAGACATAGTGGGTCTGACACAAAACGATTTTAACCTGTTCTATTTCTAGATGAATTTCGGTGATTCTTACGACAAATGGTGTCAAGATGGCTAAACGTCTTATCTGAAATCCTGGAAAAAAGAAACTCAATTAGTTTAGTGTTTAGCGTTTTTTTTTATATATTAAACATGTTTTGGGATGTACCGTGCTGTTACACGATTTGGACAATTTTGCTGTTATACCCAAAATATATGTGTGTGTGTGTGTGTGTGTGTGTGTGTGTATGTGTTTGTGTGTGTACAAGTGGTGAAATTTTTAAAATCCGACATAATTTTTATTATTATTATAAACGTTAGCTTCGACTGTCGTCGGTACATATTCCTCCGATGTTAACCCTTGTTTCCTGTATTGGTCTGGGTTTCTGCTGCTTCTAAATTCTTTTCCCTCTCTTTCATTTCCTGTAGCCCCTTCTCTCTTAGTGCGTTATCGCCCTTCTTGTCGAATTGGTTAAAAAGAAAACAAATTTAGTGCATACCCGTGTGTAAGCCGATGCCACAGTTTTTGTTATTTTAACATTGAAAATTAATGACAAGTTTGTCTCTAGGCCGGTTGATATTACTTTATAGTAATTATATATATATATATATATATATATATATATATATATATATATATATATATATGTAAAGCAAATATATGGATACAGATCCGACAGTATGAAGAAAAATACAGAAAAAACAAACAAAAATCTGAATATGCAATTATGTAGTATTAATGTTAATATAAAGTCGACGTCGGACGTTTCGGTCTATTTAAGACCATCTTCATGGACATTTATATAAATATATATATATATATATATATATATATATATATATATATATATATATATTTTATCTTATATAAAAATTTCAGTTATCTGTTTGGATTAGTTGGGCTCTTATGTCCATCGTCTTTTGTGTTAAATTTTTGCATGTTCTAATGTTAATTATGTTTAAATGAAAATGTCCATGAAGATGGTCTTAATTAGACCGAAACGTCCGACGTCGACTTTATATTAACATTAATACTACATAATTGCATATTCAGATTTTTGTTTGTTTTTCTGTATTTTTCTTCATACTGTCGGATCTATATCCATATATTTGCTTACATACTGTCTACTGGAAATACAAACCTGAATATATATATATATATATATATATATATATATATATATATAGTCAAACCTAGTGAGCCAGACAAACCTACCCAGCTGACGATCCGCTTAGGTGAAACCTGGGTAGGTTTGTCTGGCTCACTAAGTTTGACTAAGTCTGCTCTACGGTTGTATTGAGCTCTATTTAGTTATTTGTTTACTTGTGTTGTTTTTTTTTCTTTGGGCTTCAAACCTGTATCTGTCTGATTTTTTTCGGCAGACTTTCATGTTTCTATCTCTTTCTTTCTTTGAAACCTTTTTTTCCTTCGAGATTGATTTGATTATTGGCAAATCAAAAAAATCGAAGGTTTTTTTGAGACAGTATAGTTACCAATATATATATATATATATATATATATATATATATATATATATATATATATATATAGAGAGAGAGAGAGAGAGAGAGAGAGACATAGATAGATAGATAGATAGATAGATAGATAGATAGATAGATAGATAGATAGATAGATAACAGGTGAGAGAGAGAAAGAAAGAAAAATTGAAGACATTAAATGACATGGAAAACTACATAGTGATGAGTTTCGTTCTAAGAAAGAACTCTCCCAGACAAAATAACGATTTTATTGATGTTACCCGTATTATAAATAAAAATTCGCGGGGGACAATGCAGCAAACGACTGTTGTAATTTACATCGAAACGTTAAAATGACAGAGACACACAATATTTCATTTTGAATTTTGACGTATATAAATTTTTCAATTAACCTGTACCATTCAGCTATCATTTTTATTTTTATCTTTCACTTTAAACATTCCACATTTTAATTATTAACCATTCCACATTTTAACCATATTTAACCATTCCACATTTTAACCATATTTAACCATTCCGCATTTTAATTTTTAATCATTCCACATTTTAAACATTTTTAACCATTCTACATTTTAATTTTTAACGATTCCACATTTTAATTTTTAATCATTCCACATTTTAACCATTTTAACGATTCCACATTTTAATTTTTAACCATTCCACATTTTAACCATTTTAACCATTCCACATTTTAATTTTTAACCAATCCACATTTTAATTTTTAACCATTCCACATTTTAACCATTTTAACGATTCCACATTTTAATTTTTAACAATTCCACATTTTAACCATTTTTAACCATTCCACATTTTAACCATATTTAACCATTCCACATTTTAATTTTTAACCATTCCACATTTTAATTTTTAACCATTCCACATTTTAACCATATTTAACCATTCCACATTTTAATTTTTAACTATTCCACATTTTAACCATTTTAACCATTCCACATTTTAATTTTTAACCATTCCACATTTTAAACATTTTAACGATTCCACATTTTTAACCATTTTCTAACCATTCCATATTTTAACCATTTTAACCATTCTACATTAACCATTTCACATTTGACATTCATTTAACCATTCCACATTTTATTACGCCGCGAATCCTACACCATATTTATTCCCTTTACATAAATACATACAATAAAATGTAGGCCAATTTAAAACCATAGAAAGAAAAGTTTCGAAAATTGATTGTTTAACGCTTATCAATCCTTTGTGGTTTATTTAAAGCCGACACACATTTCGAATTGTAGGAGGTCGCTTACACTGCCCGGTAATCTGAGAGCGTTCAGCTTTTATCGAACTGACAGGACCATAGGGAGAACCGTGATTAGCGAAATGTGAAAGGCTAAGTTTTATTTCAATATACGTTCGATGTCAAATTTTAAAAGCTAAAAGGTAAATATTGAATGTCTCTGTATCCTTAACGTTTCAATGTAACCGGTGGTCTGCATATATATATATATATATATATATATATATATATATATATATATATATATATCGTACGATCACCGAAGTTAAGCAGCGTAGAGTCAGGTCAGTACTTAGATGGGGGACCGCTTGGGAACACCTGGTACTGTAAGTCCCCAAAGTCCAACCCTTACCTCACGGTCGGTGGGGGGGGTAAACAGTAGTGTCAGAGTTATGCCGCCCGGAACTTCGTTCCTGGTAGGGCCACCCAAGGCGGACAGCTCTGACACACACGCCGGCTAACAAGGGCTCTGGTGAAAATCCAAGGAGCGTCTGCAACGGTAACCGGTGGCTTCTGGTCGTTCCTGTCTCTGCGTCTGTGGGAACCCCGCGGCAAGAAGAACGTTATCCGAGTAGGCCTGGGTACCCTACTTCTGTAATTTATCCCAAGAATCTTCTTCTCATAACAGGAAGAAGCCGGCTCAATCCGCCCAGGGTGAATGCCGCATTAAAATATATATATATATATATATATATATATATATATATATATATATATATATATATATAAGTGTGTGTACGTGTTGAACGTGTCTTTGCAAAAGCAGGATGTGGAATGAAATTAGAACTAATTAAAATATCAACAAAAGACACGGTTTATTTACAAAACATTAAATTCTTGTCCAAATTAGAGAAAATATTTTTTTTTTAATCGGGAAGTCTTTCTCATTCATGCTGGCCATCGCTTCCACCATGCCGGCGACCAACAAGTCCGTTTTATCTTGGGGCGGCTGGTTGGTTTCAAATCGACAACGTCACTGATGTAATTGTCCAGCAGATTACAATCATTAAATATCATCGTTAGTATATTAGGCCAGCTAAACCTGGTTCGTTTCGACTGTGTAGAAAGATGAAGAGACACATTGGGACATTGAGAAGAATTCTTTGATCGAGAACATGAAGGCCGTACGCAGTGCCTGATTGTCAGCGATGACGTTTATCCTGAAGACAAACAGAAGTGCAACTAGATGAAATGACATCCATTACTTAAGATCAAAAGGATAGTGATAGATGAGGCGAAATTACGTAGCAATATACGATGATGCTCATTAAACGACGTGGCAGAGGGAGATTAACCCTTACCTGGCCAAGACAGCTCACAGCACTTGAGAGCGATAAGGTTATGCAGCTCCAGTCTGTCAGTATTTGACTTTGGGACGAGTATGGGCTGGGAGCTGTAATTTATGACTTTTTCAGATGACATTAACAGAAGAGTTCAAGCGTCACAAAAGAGGAAATGTTTTGCCAACTAGGTCACTGTGAAGAGCGTTAAGAGGAGTCATCACGTTTTGACGCTTTTCGCTTTCTCCAGAGCCCAAACCTAGTCGCTGTCGTCCAGTCTCCAAAATGAATGAACCAGAAATATTTCTTCACCATTTTTTTTTTTTTGCGTTCAATATTTGATTGTTCCACGTTTTCTATATCCATCTAAAACGATCAGAAAAGAAACGGAATCTAAAACCCAACCAGGTGCTGTTCCAAGTCACAACGCTACAATTAATGCGTTGACAACAATGGCTTCCTGAGTACCGCTCATCCTGTACATCTTCCCATTTCCTATGTAAGCTCTTAACGTTAAAATTTGGCGCACCCGTAAATAATAATTTAAGTTGCTTTCTATCGCCCAAGTAATTGTATGACCTAGCGCGCTCTAATTCGAAACTCAAGAAATTCAGCAATATCAATAACAAAAAAATACACAACATAAACTGTAAACGGAATAAAATAACAAGAAAAATTAAGTATAAAAAAACAACACAATATTAATAAAATTTTATCAAATTGAGAAACAAAATACTAAATATATTTCATAAAAGAACGCCACAAGAATTGATACGCGAAGATACGAAAAAGATGTGACGCGTGAAGACACGATATTTGTAAAACTACGAAAGCAAAAAAGCATAAAAAAACATCTCTTTGATAACGGCTCATGAACGCTTGCAATAGTCAGAGAGATATTTTTATATACAGTGTAACCCGGATATAAGAGACCCGGATATAAGAGAAACCCGGATATAAGAGAGTTTTTCTCTGGTCCCAAATTAGAGCCTGTATTAATGTATATAAAATAGACCAAACCCGGATATAAGAGAAACCCGGATATAAGAGACTTCTTCTCCGGTCCCGACAACTTTCTTATATCCGGGTTACACTGTAGAATAGACTAACGTGGTAGGAGCGGCGAGGTCGACCTGGGGGTGGGGCACTAAGGCGCGAACGCATCATTCTCCCCACCCGCTTTAGTAGCCTACCATTTGGATTAGCGTAAGAGGTGAGGGCAAAGGTATGTTATAAAAATCCTTCCACCTCATACTCATTAACTTTTTGGCCGACAGCGAAACAAATTTTTATTATTGTCCCTGTATGTTATTACTATGTTTACCTGACGCTAGCGGAGAGGGTCGCAAAGGAAGGACGTTTTTCTTTTGCAACCCAGTCATTCACCAACTATCTCCAAGCTGGTCCTTTCAGTGGAATTCATTTTCAAAAATATTTAAGCCGGAAACCATGAAAATAAAAGCAAGAACAAAAAAAAACTTAACAAAAAATTCAGAATCCGCTACTCAAAGTTTCATGCAATAACACTCTTCATACAAATAAAATATACATAAGATATATTTTATTCGCTTGAAGACTGTTTACGAAAGAAATACTAAGTAATGGATTTTGAATGTATTGTATTATATACAAATCTCTCTAGAGATTATGTGCGGGGATAAACCTGAATATAACATCAATCAGCTAAGTGACAAATTACATTTATTTGATTAATATATATATATATATATATATATATATATATATATATGTTCTGTTTATACATCGTTTTAATAGACACACTTTTTTAAGTAAATGCTGTTTTTTTTTTTAATTAAACAGTATTAATTACATTTACTGGCCTGAATGTTCGATAAATTTCGTAGAAAATATGCGTCCTTCAACAGGAATCGAACCTGTCTCATATACAGAACCGTCATTTGATCCGACGTGCTATACTAATTTGGACTTTGCAAAACAGACGCTTCTCTATAGTTATGTGGTATGGCACGTCAGTTCAAATGACGGTTCCATAAAGGACACAGGTTCGAATCCTGTTGGAGAAAGCATTTTTTTATAGATCTCTCGAATATTCAGGCCGGTAAATGTAATTAATAATATTGTTTAATTAAAAAAACAGAGGATTTATTTAAATAAATTGTACATATTAAAACAACGTATAAGTAGAAAATATAACTTAATCCATTTCATTATATATATATATATATATATATATATATCTTAATCGATTCTCCCGTCGGGTTCGACGTATGAAGGTCAAGCAGATCAGTTTCCAGGAAACTGACAGCCCGACACTGGCACATGAGATTCGATTATAGTGGTGAAGGCTTCGTGCAGGACCATCCACACTTTTTGAAATTATATATATATATATATATATATATATATATGATTTGATATGATATGATATGATATATATATATATATATATGATGGTTGTCACCCCGTGTTTGACTATCACAAGATATCAACTTGATAAGTTCCATTATTGTTCGGTTCATACTCCTCCGCGGTCTTTTGACGGGTGTAAAGTTTTACCTTTTGTTCCATATTTAGGATTGGTTTTTGGTTCCTTCTAAAGTTTTTTCGTATAGCCTTTCACAAACAGTAGGTCTTTGCATCTTAGTGGCATTATCGCCTTGCTTGGGGTGAATTGATTAGAAAACAAAATTGGAAAAATACGTAGCACTTGGTCAATACCACATTTTAATCCAGAACAGCACGATACCCCAAATGTGCAACCAGTCAGCATCAATTGTTGCTCTGAACCCGCAAGTGTTCGTCCACTCTCCTCGTTGGATGGCTCAACAGAAACTCAGTAGTCCAACACAGCCAGTAGGTTTAAAACGGCGCGTCTAGAGACGAGACCACGTATGTCTATATCACCATAGCCTGTGCTAGATGGCCTTTGGCCACAACAGTTTTGCTAGATGCCTCGTCCCCCACCTCATCACAAAAATATCCAGGAGAAAGAACAAGTTTAGTCGGTGATAACTCCACCAGGTATTACTGGGCTATTTAAAGATTATAAATATACACAGGGGTGTCGTAGCGAATATATCTACACCCCGACACACAAACACCCATATATGTATGTATATATATATATATATATATATATATATATATATATATGTATATATGTGTGTGTATGAAGAAAAATATATACCTTGAAAAAACAAACAAAAAATCTTATATACAATTATGCTGTTTTAATGTTAATATATCAACGTCGGACGTTTCGGTCTAATAAACCATCTTCAGGACATATTCATAAATATATTATCAACATGACAAAGACCATACCATATATTTGTATGTATATATGTCTATATATATATATATATATATATATATATATATATATATATATATATATATATATATGATGATGATATAAATGTAAGTAATTATAATACTCGTCTGGAAAAACCTTAGGTGTTTTGGCTTATGAATGAACAAACCAATATCCAAGAAAAAATAAGGGATAAAAAAAAGAAAGAACTAAGAACATGTAATTGAGGCGAAAACAATTGTCCAGAATCCAAGCTCAGTGTCCAAAGAAAAAAAACTCCAAAACGAGTAAAGCAAAAGTAACTAAGTGCTCACTTAGTACACTAAGTAGAGCAAATCTAACTATGAACCTAAAGACCCAGGTAAACATACCTAGGTTTTGATCTATGCGGACCCTGACTATCCGCGTAACTGAAACCTAGCTCTTTTAGGTACATATATATATATATATATATATATATATATATATATATATATATATATATATATATGATTCTAAATCTGTACGTGTTTATATCTTAATGTATCACAGTTTATTTCTCTTTTACACTTTCTCATTTTCTCACGCTAGAGTAAGAAAGCTAGAGAAATACCAAATTAATGCCAATTCAGTTCAAAGTCAGTTTGGTAGAAACAGACCAATAAAAAAGAATGTGCCGTGCCATGTTCACCCTATAATCCCTGAAATACTATGGGAGGATTCAGGTAAAAAAAATTGTCACTGCCTTTCGTAACTTGTAATAATTAAATTTAACATTTTCAAAAAGCCAAAGCCAAAAAAATTTAATTGACCATTATAAAGCTTTACTTAAAAATTATTTTAAAATAATTGGCCGCAAAATTATTGATGCCATGTTAAAAATATATTTTAATAAAAATAAGTTTCTGGTTGTTTTTTTATTATATATCTTACAGTCTAATTTTTAAGAAATTAATCATAATGTTACCTACGATGCAACAGATAGAGAAGGGAATTGTTAAATGTCTAAATATCAGTGGATAGATATCAGGTTAGTGCAAAAATAATGACGTAATAATGTCGTTTTTTGACGTATTGTTTAACGTCAAAAAACGACATTATTACGTCATTATTTTTACACCAACCTAATAGAAAGAACAACAAACAGATATTAACATAGATAGATAGATAGATAGATAGATAGATAGATAGATAGATAGATTTTTTTAAGCATTTCACCCTCAGCAAGATGGGAGTGCCACTAGCAAGGGGTTACAGAGAGTGAAAATAAGTGTAAAGAGGGGTGTTTGAGAGAAAACATTAGAAGATGTCGATAGACACTACATTTGAATATTTGAAGATTATAGTTATCAGAGAAGCAAGTAAGAGGAAGGGAATTCCACTTTCAGGAAGTGCGAGAGAAGAAGCCGTTGGAGTAGAAGAGGTAAAAGGTTGGGACCGAGCTACCTATCTATATATATATATCTTTTTTTTCTTTTTCTAAAAGCATTTCACCTCGAGCAAGGATGGAGTGCCACTAGTACGCAAGGGATTAGAGTTAAAGTAAGAGAAAAGACTAGGGTATAGGTGGGATAGAGGAAAGGATAAAAGGAAGATCAGGGATAAAGGCATCAGAAAATGTCGATTGACATTACATTTAAATATTTGAAGATTATAGTTATCAGGGAAGCAAGTAAGAGGAAGGGAGTTCTACTGTCGGGAAGTGCGAGAGAAGAAGCTATATGAACAGAATATCATAGACAGATATGAACAGAATTGCATAGATAGATACATAGATACAATGAGATTTAGATAGATAGATAGATAGATAGATAGATAGATAGATAGATAGATATAAATACAGAATAAACAGAATATAACAGGTTGATAGATATTAACGAAAACACGATTAAAGATGGGAAGAATTTTGTCATGGGCCCAGTTTTAAAAAACTAGTGTCACAATATTTGAATATATATATATATATATATATATATATATATATATATATATTATACCCAGCAGGTCTACTTACGTGATATACATAAATGGCTTCCTCTTATCATCTCCCCAAAATACAAACCTATTAAACATAATAACAAAACGCAATAATGTTAAACCCACCATCGAATTCAGACACGGACTTGAAACAAATAACTATCTTTCCTCAACATCTTATTAATACGCAACAATGATCAATAAGATTTTAAAGTTTACCTAAAACCAACTAACCAAACGACTTAATTTCTATTCCCAGCATAACCAGCGAATAAAATTTGGCCTTAGGATTTGTAGCTCTGCATACCTAAATGAAGATGGGGAATATATTGAGAAAACATTCAAACTTTTCCAATAACTTCACCATTTCATCCTCAATACTAAAAAACAAGCTCACAAAATCCATATCGCCAATAAAACAGATACTTCCAAAAATTACACAAAATTCATAATCTTGCCATTTAACGCCTTTTCAACTAAACTCGTAAACGAATTAGCCATCCCTAACACTAGAATCGTTACCACCACCTCAAAGACAATAAGACATATAATTAGGAAGAAAAAATAAACTAAACACGATTTCAGAAGCCGGAATTTATCAGATTAAGTGTCTACAGTGCAAAAGCAGTTTAGCGGGGAGGGGACACTTCAAGTGATCTAAAAAAAAACCGTATCTACGAACACAAGAGAGACTTGACTTTAGACAGATAGTCTAACTCTCTCGTCTTATATCGAAACGACGTGGGACATAACTTTGATTTCACTTATGCCTGCCTAATCAAAAAACAAAAAACATAACCATTTAAGGAGAAAATTTTATGAAAAATTATTTTATAGTATTACTATCAACTATAAACATTCGCCTAAAACATTACATTACATCACCATCTTTCTACAGATCCATTATCCATCAGTTAAACTTACATAAAATAATAAAAATTTACAAATCCTTCCCCAAAATACGCAGAGGAAATGCTTTAAGGATAAAGCCAACCAAAACTTATAGATTATTACAATATCTTTCTGCATTTCACCGACCCACACAGAGGTAACGACAACAGACAACCCCCCACACACACACACACACACATATACACTTCCGTGAAATAACGTTACCGTCCTACATACACTTAGACAAACAAGCGTTTCTTGACATACACACTCATACACTATTACGCACTTTAACGTTCAAAATGTTTCTCACACATATTTTATATATTATTTATTGCGTTAATACAAGGGACTCGTAGCTGAACAATAAGAATTAACCAGAGATCATAACATGCCAGTATTCTGTGTCTCTTTGGTTTTTCATTTCTGTCTCAATGTCTGAAAAAGCTTTAATAAAAGTGAATGTTCGATTGAGATACGTTTCCTACTTGTTCTTTATTTTATTTTATCACACACACACACACGAATATATATATATATATATATATATATATATATATAATAAAAAGGCTTAAACACTAATATTCCATGGTCATAATTTATTCCATTGAAATCGTAAATACCATCCAATTCATCAGACCTACAAATTCAAAAAGAAAATAGAAAAAAACAATTCCGGAAATAAAAAATAGAATTTAGAGAAAGTGTAAGTATGAGAGTGTGGGAGGAATGTTAGAGCTAAAGAGAGGGGTAACAGACGAAAGAAGGTGGGAGATTAAACCTTAACATAGAGAAGTTTTAGAGAGGTGAGTGGAAGAGGTTTAAGTGAGAGAAACATGAATGTTGTCGGATGTCTAATACATTAAAGATACATTTCATGGTGACACACACACATGCCATAGACGATCCAATGTTAAAGATCAGAATAAGAGGGAGGGAGAGGAAAAGAAAAGAAAAAGGGGTGGGAAAAAGGGATGAGGCGGGGGAAAACTAAAACTAAAGGGCGTTTACTGAAAGGAGCGCTGTGTAATTAAGAAAATTTTACAAAATTAATATCGACTACAGGTTACAAATCAAATATAATCATATAAAAAATAAATGTAACGATTATCTAATCTAGCAAGGACCTATATTTTTATGTTCAAAAACACATGCGAATACGCACACACAATGCGAATATATATATATATATATATATATATATATATATATATATATATATATATATATATATATATGTGTATATTCAAGCAGGTTTGGTTAAATAATTTAATTTTTTAAGTCTATGCATTTATGAGTGTAGCAACAAAGTGCTTAAATGTTTGTAATATCAAAGTTTTATATAAAAATACTAAACTAAAATATTATAATTAAATTTTTCTTTATATTTTAAATTGCAAAAGTTAACCCCTTTCCGTAAGTGGGAAAAGGAAAAGATTGAATTTGAAACGCTGTAAAGAAAGAGTGAAAAAATATTTTCAATTTAAGTAACTACCGTATACACATCAACAGATATTTTAACCCCCTGAAGCTGGTCTTAGTTGAGACTGAAAGTAATTAAAATTGAAATTACTTGTGAAAATAAAAAAAAATTATTTGAAAGAAAATGTTGATATTTTTCTTGATGAAATTTGTACCAAGAAATTAATTCGTTGGCTTGAAAGGATTAAAACTAAAATAAATAAACAAAATACGTCTAAATTATTTAACCAAACCTGCTTGAATGAAAATATGTTGCCGCTATATATATATATATATATATATATATATATATATATATATATATATATATATAGTAGTAGTACTCGTTTGGAAAATCTCAGATAGGTCAACTTGCAGATATGTCAAGACAAATCGGTACCGAGAAAAAATTTGGAAATAAAAAAGAAAGAACTAAAAACATCAGAACAAGACAAAACAAATAGCCAAATGCTTTAAGTCCTTAGTCTAAAGAAAAAAAGAAAACGGGTAGAAAGACTAAAACGTAGAGTGCCTAATATTATAAGTAGAGTGATAACCTAAAATAAATCCTAATGAGCCAGGCAAACCCGGTCTATATATATATATATATATATATAATTATTTTTTATAAAAAAAAATTATAACATAAATATGTAATAAAATCACTACAAAAATAGCCATTTTGTTTGAACAGCGTCGGTGTCTTATCAAATGATGATGTTGTAGATAAAATAAATGTTTTTAAAAGTTTCAAATTAATTAACAATCCATCGCTAGGGGAAAACATTGTTACAAAAGCTAAAATTACCAATCAAAACCCAAATATAGGAAGATTCAAAAGCTTGACAACGAAATCATGTTATAATAGCTATTCAGATCTTTAAAATACGGGTAATATTAAAAAATAATTTTTTCTAATCAATAATTATTAAATTATATGATAAAATTTGTTATTAAAATTAAAAACTGCCAATATATATATATATATATATATATATATATATATATATATATATATATATTGACAATTGTGTATTTGAGCAGCAATCCTTCTTTTATACAGTTTCATTGAAAATGATTGACAAGGTACTGCGATAAAGCTTTTTATTATATTTTTCTTGCAGCCATCTGAAAGATTTTCTTTTAGGGGACATAGAGTGTGTAAGATATGTCCAAATGATTATTTGTGTCCCAGCGCTTTCGGCTAATCTGTTAGCCATTTTCGATTATGTCTCTTTTTGTCTTAATATGTAGATTTGTTTAAAGAACTTCATGATTTTTCAGTTTAACAATCTGTTAACACCTATCTCAAGCGATATTTCTTTTGTATTTAAATGCTTAGATTTGTTATGATTTCTTAGAAAGAAAATTCTTATCGCACGTGATGTTAAATATTTGATTTTAAATGTTTTCATTCATATTAAAATGCCTTTATTTTATCTGGAGGATCTAGAGTGTCTTTTACGACATTTAATCTTCAAAAGGCATCGAAAGCTATTTTATTTTCATTGAAAGACTTCCACATATAATTCGTTTTATCACGCATTTCCATCTTCCACTTGCATTGGAATCCCTTTGTTTACTATGAACGGTTCTCAAGAATAAAAAATATACTCTCCATAATCTCCCCACCGTACTAAAAAAAACGGAAGAGAATTTCTCCACATAATATTTTATTTTTATTATTATACATATATTTTATATACTTTTTAAATCATTGAACCTCAAACAAGAGGTGCGGAGAATGGAAAATAAATCAACAGGATCCAGGAAAATAGAAGAAAATGATTGGCTTTGCATTTAAATTTTTAAAGGTTGCAGATAGCAGAGAAGTATGAAATCAGAATAGAGTTCCACAGGTAGCAAAACAATTAGAATAGAACTGACAGTTGAATATAGTAAAAAGGTGAGACCTAATTGCCAATTTAGTAGAACGTTTGAATTCATGCAGTCGAGGCATCAAGAGAGAAAGGTCATCAGTACAATTGCCGTGAAAATATTATTAGAAGGAACAGAAAGAAGCCACGTCACGTCGGTGAGAAATTGGCTGAAGTCGAGATTCCAAGACATTAGAGGCCGTTCTTTGAATTCTGTTGAGAATCTTGAGATCTATTGCAGAATGTCCAGACCAGATATGGCACCAATATTCAATGCACGAACGAATGGTAGATATATAAATCTGTAAGACAGATTCTGACGAGAAGAAAATGTGTCGGTCAAGACACACTGAACCAACTTTCCTCGTGGCGGTGTAGTGGTTAGCAAGTTTGTCTCGCTAGAACAATTACAACTGGGTGGTGAGTTCGATCCTCACTGGGTGCCTCCTACTTTCGGCCTTGTGACACATCTAAGCTACGCTTGGTAAATTGAGCTGCTCGGCCTGGAGGCTAGGATCAAAGTGTAGTACGCTGCCTTTGTGAGCTTCCGAGTCGGCGTCTGTCGAACTCTCTGCATTAGCAGAGAGGAACCCGGACGAAGCTTTGCCGAAGGGCAAGGTTTCGTCCGGGGAGGTAGACAGGGCCTGAACCCGTCTAGGCGGGTTGAAAAAGGCTATATTTTTGGCTGAGCCTACGGGCTCGGGGATACCCACATTAAACCGGCCTTGTGCCACATTCTATCCTCGTGGGTGGATCGATAAATACTGAACCATCTTTCCTTGCAGTAGACCTTGCAATTGATTCAATATAATCACTCCACGCCATGACAGTGGAAAACATGAGTCCAAGAAGGTGCAAAGAGTTAACGTCCTGGAGCTTTTTGTTTTACAGTAAAGTTCTCCTTGTACAAGGCCTGAGAGCCCTTCAAGGTAGAGGGTTACGTTAAGGGTTTATATGGATAGGAAGGCAAGATAACGGTTGATTCTATACTTGAACATGTTAAGATTTTAGTGATCGGGGAAATATCTTCTTGGGAGTCGGTTCCACAGAGTAGTGGTTCTCGGCAAGAAGCTGCTTCAGTGGAACTTACTACTCGCCGATATAATACAGAGGAAATGAGGGTGGTTTGTTACTATGTAAGTGGCATGTCGGGTCCTAGCTTTGAAAATCAGACCTGGCAGGACTAGGAGATACAATCCGTCAGAGCACTTCCCATGGTAGTTACGAAAGAAAAGCGAGAGACACACCACATCCTGCCTGTGAAAGAGCGGTTAGAGTGTTGAAAATAATTCTTCTTCAACAAGGAGTCGATTACCTTTTTGAAGCGTGTCAAGACTGGAAAGTGAGGACTGGGCAGCTTCCACTCAAATATGGCAACAGTATTTCATTTCGGCTTGATTTTGCACTTAGAGGATAGCATGAGAAGTTAGGTACTTACTGGAGCGCTACAGGGAGCCGATCTTTTTACCTGCATCTTTAACGATGGATCGTATATAGGAATTCCAGTTGAGGTCGTGTGTGCGTTTGATGCCCAATATTCTCTCAAGGTATGAGACTTCCTTGGAAGGACATCCGTTCATCGTGACTGGTGGTAGTTCGGGGTCTGATTGGCGGTGATGGAATGTAACCAGTTTGGTAAAAGTTTAGAATCAGCCATGCTGATGGCAGTCAGAAACTGTTTTCTATTTTGATTAAATTAAACCATTTTTAGAGGCGTTTAAATTTATAAGAACAGAAACATTTATTTCAATTGACATTGCTAATATAATAAAATTCATTTTCTTTAAAGGAAACAGCTTGTCTGGGATTATATTATCTTATTTATGCTATTTCCATTGGGATTATTATCCTCATCTTTCTTGTTGTTGTCATAATGTTTCGCTTGTTGTGTCTTCTAGTTGTATATCGATCCGTGTAACATACAGGGAATTCTGAACTGAACCTTTTATTTAATCTACAGGGTAGAATGTTCTCGTTCCCCTACCCATCAGGTTGCTCGCCCGTTTCCACGGAGTTCAGGTACACACTGACACAACCTGTCTAAGAGAAACAAAATTTTGAATTCCAGACTGTTGAGAAAGCAATAAAGGCCTAGCAATTCGGAGATAATCAAGAAAAGAATAAAGGCCCAGCAATTCGGAGATAATAAAGAAAAGAATAAAGGCCTAACGATTCGGAGATAATAAAGTAAAGAATAAAGGCTCAGCAATTCGGAGATAATAAAGAAAAGAATAAAGGCCCAGCGATTCGGAGATAATACAGAAAAGAATAAAGAACCAGAAATTCGGAGATGATAAAATAAAGAATAAAGGCCCAGTAATTCGGAGATGATAAAGAAAATAATAAAGGCCCGGCAATTCGGAGATAATAAAGAAAAGAATAAAGGCCCAGTAATCTGGAGATAATAAAAAAAATAGAATAAAGGCCTAGCGATTCGGAGATAATAAAGAAAAGAATAAAGGCTCAGCAAATCGGAGATAATAAAGAATAGAATAAAGGCCTAGTGATTCGGAGGTAATAAAGAAAAGAATAAAGCCCAGCGATTCAGAGATAATAAAGAAAAGAATAAAGGCCCAGCTATTCGGAGATAATAAAGAAAAGAACGAAGAACCAGTGATTCGGGGATAATAAAGATGAGAATAAAGGCCTAGTGATTTGGAGATAATAAAGAAAAGAATAAAGGCCAAGCAATTCGGACATAGTAAAGAAAAGAATAAAGGCCTAACGATTCGGAGATAATAAAGAAAAGCAGTTTGTGGGGAGCTATGAACAACTACGTCCCAAAGGTACATAGAGTTTGTTTTCTTTTATAATAATATATAAATGTGAATATTTCCAGCGCTCTTAAAGACGAGAAAAAAAATCAAGGCGGTATTTGTATACATTTTTCTTAATTAAAAAATGAAAATAGATTTTTAAAAATCTTGGTAGAAAAATATCAAGCTTAAATATACCATTTGCATAGTCAAAATCTCCGAGAGAATTTAAAAACAAAAAAAAATTAAAATAACTGTACTAAATATTTATTTTATTTTATTTTCCCCTTTTAAGTATTCTGATCGAGGGCATGAGTTTGGCTTTATTGATTTTTTTTTCGCATAAATATTAAACAGAATTTAATTCTCCTGAGAATTATCTTTAAGAAAGTGTTCATAAATAAATATAATTTCTCTGATTCGTTTTACAAGGCATAGACATACTAGGCGCACACGCAGACATGCACACACATACACACGCAAACACACACACACTTACGAATGTACAGTATCACCTGATTCCCACATAGAGGAACTAGAATTATTTACGTCTTTTCTGTTAAGTTTGCAATCCGTTAATCTCTTCAGTCCTTGAATTCGAAAAATTAAATCGTCTGTTTAACAAGTCAAATGCACATGAAACATGATGAAGCAATGAAACTCAAACAACACAAAGATAAAATCCCTTTCTTCTTTTTCTCCATATCAATTTATCTGATGTAACTTTAATAAAAGTGAATCATGTTAAATTGATAGAAGTTTATTATGTGTTCTTTATCTTATCATTTTACAAGGAAATATTTAATAAATGAATTATTATTGTTACTACTACTACTACTACTGCTGCTGCTGCTGCTCCTACTACTACTATTATCATAAATAAAAAAAATAAAATACAGAATAACTCAAAATTGATCGCTGCATTTAAGTATTGCATTAATATTTAAGCTTATCTTTTAAGAGTTCAACGACAATTCTTCTGCCGAAAGATAATTTGATGTACGTACGTCCTTACTTTCCGTACAAACAATTATTTTTATTTCACGGGTGACTTTCGCTGGATTTCTCAATTCATTTCGATTATTCATAAATTTATTTCGTGCAAACAAATTCGTCACACAAAATCCCTTAAAAAATCGCAGGAGACAATGGCAGTAACGAAAACTTGGAAATCCAAAATTTCTGGATTGTGGGTTCAGATCCGGTCTGGAACGTTTTTAATTTACTCACAGAGTCTTCCTGATTCTAAAATGGTATGATATTTTCGGCTACGGCGTCCAGGAGTAAAGATGAAAAAGTGTGATATAGTGACGCACTCATATTCGCATTTATTATACAGATTATAGAGGTGTGTTCCTTTAATTGCATTTATCTGTTGAAGACATCATGGCGGAATCCGAAAACAATTGCAGTATTGAAAATTTAGGAATCCAAAATTTCAGAATTGTGGGTCTGGATTAGGCTGGGAATGATTTTAATGATTGCTTGCGGAGTCGATCTGATTCCAAAATGGTACAATATGTTGGGCTACCGCCTCTAGGATCAAAATTGAAAAAGTGTGACACACTGACATTCGCATTTATTTATATTGATGATCCGTTTTACGTTTTGTTCTAGTTGTTTTAACAGCAGATGAATATATTGTGACGGGGACACCTTGTCCAGGGTCGAAAAACCTTTGGTTACGGCGCCAACTGTGACGTCGCTCCTCCTGGTCGCTCTTCGCTGTTCCAAGCGTGCCGTTCCAACCCTATTAGATGATTACCAGCCTCGCCTTTCTCAACCCGCTTCCAACACCTGGTTAAGGGTAATCAGATCTCCGGTCTGTCTACCCACGTTGTGATTAGATCTTAGACAGACGGGATCAAACAGGGATTAAATATGCAAGTTGAGTCCGACGGGGTGGCAAAACACAAGTAAAAAAAACTCACGAGACAAAAAAAAATACTGATAAAAAGGGTAATTTTATATCTAATGTTCGTTAAAAAAAAATTGTTCTTACTTCCCGACCCGCTTTGTGGATCTGGGCACCAAGCTCCTATCATACAACTTAAAGACTTCGAATTGTCTACTCTTCAGAATTGTTATGTCGGAGTGTGGTCTAGTTCGACACTGGGGCGAATTATCCCAGTCGTTCACAGCTGATTCTTCTCTTCGGCTTGAGTTGGACGTATTTCTTCACTTCGATTTGGTTTGGTCAAATTTCTGTTCTTGGGCTTGGTTTGGTTTCAGCTTCTTCTTCTTCCGTCCTGCAACTCTTTTCTGTCGACTGAGGTTGAACTGATTTGCTTGTTTGGCCTGCAACTTCGCCTGTCTGAGGTCGACCCTTCTCGCTGCCGTCCGGGGCTGAACTCTCTGTCGTCCGAGGTGATCTTTCGCGCTGCCGTCCGGGGCTGAACTCTCTGTCATCCGAGGTGATCTCTTCTCGCTGCCGTCCGGGGCTGAACTTTTCATTGGGGTCCTGCTTTTATTGACGCCGCAACAAAACTAGTCGGCGTCAGGGTTTTCTCGATAATTCCAAAAGTCGCACTTCTTCTGATTTCCATTATCGATTTTCACCCCTACTTTCTCCACAGTGCCTCTGGTGGGAGGCGCATACCCATCTCTCCCGGTCTCTCGTATGTCAGGTGACCGTTTCGACCAATGGGTCTTGATCGAGCGTCCTTTCTCTCTTCTCGCATATCACGTGACCGCTTTCGGCTAATGAGATTCTGGTTGGGCGTCTCCCGTACTACGTGACGTCTCCAATCGGGCGTGGCTTATCCCGTCCTTGTTCTGGGAAGGAACATTGCTAAAAAACAAAATCCAATTTGGTTTTTTCGCACGCACGAAAAATGACAATCTTGGCCTTTCTCACCTTCCTGGTTCTTGTCAAAACAGTCCGCCGCTAATTAGATGTGACTTCAGGAAGAATTTTTTTCGTCTTGCTGACGCTTTCTGTGAGCCAAGAACAATTGTTTTTTTTAGTTTTTTTTGCTCAGACCTGATAGTCAAAAAATCTTAATTATCTGAATTGAAAAATCATCGTTCTGATCTTTAACAGGTCAGAATCTGTATACAATTCCAGCGGTCACCTTCTCATCCCAAAAGACACTTTTCCCCGATTAATATTTCGTTTCCATTGTTCTAAAAAATCCATTTCTCCAAATTGATAATGAGTCTTCTACACAAAAGTATGCCAGATGCTCCGATCGACATTTTTATCAATCGCACATATGTTCATACACTTTTACCAAGTGCTTTCTTTAATGACTTTTCATTCTAAATAACAATTCCCGTTGTCTTTCGAAATTCGGTCAGGCACGCTGGCCTAGATACCTTTTTTTGTTGTGTTTTTTCGCTAATGACCGGCCTTTTGCATTACTCATCCTCTTTCTTTTTTTCCTCCCTCTCTCTTTTTTTCCCTTCCTTTTTTTTTTTTTTTTTCTTTTCCTTTAGAGCGCCTCGTACAATTAGAGAATTATTCTCGAAACTCAATTATTCTTCGTCTAAAAAAAACTAACAACTGGTTAATAAACCGAATAAAAAAAATTAAATCATATTTCTATGAATATTTCTTTTTTCTAAAATGCAGGTGCCACAATATTGTGAGTCTTTATATTGAACAGAGCTTCTATTCCACTGCAGATGCACGCAGAATTTGCGAAATGGAATGAAATGAAACTATATATGGCGCACTACACGAAAATATTTTAATCGTTTTGTGGTTGACGACATGGACGATTATCCGTATTTGATTGTGACACGTTCCAAAGCGAAAACGGGAAAAATTCGGCGAGCGCCAAGTGAAATTTTTTCCGAAAAGCTACTATCATTGAAAACATTTCATTACCTTATATATATATATATATATATATATATATATATATATAGATAGATAGATAGATAGATAGATAGATAGATAGATAGATAGATGTAAACAAACTGAGACAGACATGAACATATTGAAATAGATATAAATATACTGATAGATAGATAGATAGATAGATAGATAGATAGATAGATAGATAGATACGATTGTTAAAAAAAAGTTCCTGACTCGACTTTTATCCCAAATGACCACACATCCATTTCTTTATCGGGTCGATACATTTTCAGCGCCCCACATTGTGCTAAATCTTTCTCTGTCTATTATGAGATTACTTCAAATAGAAGGAAACCTCGCTTCGAATAATTTATTTTCTTCGCGTCACGTATTATATTCCCAACACACTTCACATAAAATGGTAGAAAAGGCTTATGGATGAAGCCTGAAAGCAGTGGCCATATCTATTTATTAATCATTAGATCTGTGCACCATTGTATTTTCTCTCTGTCACTGGTTTTGGGGAATAGTTAAATGGCATTAACTTGTGTACACCAGGTTACACCACGTTAAAAATGAGTTTTTTTTTCTCTATTAATGTTTATTTCTGGATTTACAAATGAGATATTTACAAATATCTTTCAAACAAAAGAAACAATTTTACGAATATAATTATATAGTGATAATTTCACATATAATATAACTATTCATCTATCTAGCTAGCTAGCTTGTTTGATAGAAAAAAAGAAAGAAAGAAAGAAAGAAACAAAGAAAGAAAGAAAGTTGAATAGACAGACCTTGTCAGAGGAATTCAACAAAACTTGTCTGGATATGTTTACATTTCTCTCTCTCTCTCACACACACACACACACTCTCTCTCTCTCTCTCTCTCTCTCTGTTTCTGTCGCTATATGTGTGTGCGTGCGTACGTGTGTGTGTGTGTGTGTGAAATGTGCAGGCATTTAGACCTTAGATTACGTCTTTAATATATTCGAAAAAGAATATTTTTTTGTATTTTACATCTCGGAAATTTGTAATGATGGATTCAGCCATTTTATTTGATTTTTCAACATATTTGCTGTCTATGCTGTCTTGGAAAAGTAGAAATTTCTTCAGAAAAGGTGAGATTTGGAAAAAAAACCTTCTGAGTAAATTACTTTCACTTCTTTTGATGAGTAGTGGCATTTTGTAGCTAAAAATTGTGGTCAAATTAATTTCTGTGTATAACTAGTGCATTTTCATATTGAACAATATTCTCCCCTAAACAGCGAAAACTTTAACGCTGAAATTACATCTACATCTTTCTTTCTCTCTCTCTCTCTCTACATCTCTCTCTCTCTCTCTCTCGCTCTCTCTGTATATATATATATATGTGTGTGTGTGTGTGTGTGTGTGTGTGTGTGTGTGTGTGTGTGTGTGTGTGTGTACAGGATGTCCATAAAGTTCACGTGCACTTTATGAATATCCTGTATATAATATATATATATATATATATATATATATATATATATATATATATAGATAGATAGAATATGAACAAACTGTGATAGACATGAACAGACTGAAATATATATAGATATACTTAGATAGATAGATAGATAGATAGATAGATAGATAGATAGATAGATAGATAGAAAGAACAGCCTGAGCTAAATAAAATTCTATTGTCAAGAGGCAGCGGGACAAGTTCACTGAAATTAATGATAACTTTCAATTCGAACTCATTATTATATAAAATTCTATTCTAATGCTGACCTCAATCTTCCGTTTGTTACTTCTCTTTTATTTTTCTTGCTATTTCCATTCGCTTCGACTCAATTTCGTTTCAAGATTATTAAGGTAGAAATCCAACTGATCGTATCGATATCTCATTATCGATTGCTCGACTAATTGTCCTTTTAATCAGACTTAGTGACAAATAATATCAAGAGATGCTGAAGTGTTGTCAGTGCTCGTTTGTAATTCTATCATTGACTATAAGTAATTTTGGAAGAATTTGAAATATCGGATCAGACCAAGGATTATGTTAGAATTGTTTCATCTATATTAGTTTGTTCTTTTCTTTTCCTTATTCATTCTTTTTCTCTTATTTTTCTTTCTTTTTTCTCTCTTTTTCATTCATTTACTGTCTCTTCTTTTTCTTTCTTTTTCTCTCCTTTTCATTCATTTGTTGTCGCTTCTTCTTCTTCTTCTTTCTTTCTTTCTTTCTTTCTTTTTCTTTCCTTTTCATTCATCCCTTGTCGCTTCTTTTTCTTCCTTTTTTTCCTACCTTCTTTTTCTCCACTTTTCATTCATTTGGTGTCACTTTTTTCTTCTTTTTTTTTCTCTCCTTTTCATTCAGTCGTTGTCAATTTTTTCTTCTTACTTTTTCTACCTTCTTTTTCTCTCTTTTTCATTCATTTGTTGTCTATTCTCTTTCTTCTATCTTTTTTTCTCCTTTTCATTTATTCGTTGTCAAATCTTTTTTCCTGTTTTTTTTTCTTTCTTTTTCTCTTCTTTTCACTCATTGGTGGTTTCTTTATTTTCTTGCCCCTTTTTCTTTTTTTCTTTTTCTCGTCTTTTCATTCATTTGTTGACATTTCTTCATCTTCCGTCTTTTTTCTCTTTTTTCCATTCATTCGTTGTCTCTTTTTTGTTCTTGCTTTTTCTTTTTCTCTTTTCTTTCATTCTACATCTCTTCTTTTTCATTCTTTATATATCTTTTGTTTTTTTATTTCTTTTTTATTCTTTGTACTCGTTCGTTTCCCTTTGTTTATTTTAATTATTCTTCTCTTTTGCTTCATTCATTGCTTATCTCCCCTTTTTTTACTTGAATGCACATTTTTCTATTCTCCCTCCGTTTTCTCCATTTATCTTTTCTTCTCCTTCTTCTTTTTTCTTTCTATCTATCTATCTATCTATCTATCTATCTATCTATCTATCAGTATATTCATATCTATTTCAATATGTTCATGTCTGTCTCAGTTTGTTTACATCTATCTAAGTCTATCCGTATCTATCTATCTATCTATCTATCTATCTATCTATCTATCTATCTATCTATCAATCTCCATCTTTTTTTTATTTCTTTTCAGTTTGGCATATTTTACCCACTTTTATTTGCGTTTCCTATCTCTTTCTTAACTATGTTTCTTCTCTCTTTCTACCACATTTTACATTGTTCAACCCTTTTGCCTCTATATTTTTCGTCTTCTGATTATTATTATTATTATTATTATTACCTAATACGACGTATGTCTGGGTATGTATATAATTATCTAACCAGTATCAATCTGAAACAGTGCATTGTAGCTAGAGGTACAGAATTAAGCAACTCTTGCCAAAAAAAACCACGTGATTTGCGACGGAGCAACAGCCTTGTGGGATTTGCGGTCTCGATTAATTAAAAAAAAGTATGAAGCCTATTTTTCAAAGTAACCAAAACGGTACACATTTTTATCAAGAGCGGTTCTGTTTAATCTTTCCTGAAATGTGCAAATATCAAAATAGACCGGGTGATTGTCCGACTGAAAGAACTAATGAATATTCGTCATCCAAAAATGTGCTTTCTAGCTGATTTCACTGACTGAGGATGATAAGAGATATGTATTATGCACAACTGAAAAAAAAAGAGAAAAAAAAAATCCAAGTGATCCCAAACGTAATGCTTACAGAGAGAGAGAGAGAAAGAGCTCATATCGCCTAACATAATATTGTTGGATTTAGTGCGTAACCAAAAAAAGAAAAAAAAAATGAAAGGGGAAATAACCATTAAATATAAATTACTAAACACTGATTTGTATATGAGTAAATGAATCTGTGTTCAAAAATATACAGATCTTCCTGCACGAAATAATACACAAAAGTGAGGAAGCGATTTCAACGACATTTTGGGATCTATCATGATTTTTTCTTGAAGGGCGGTTCACAGGGTCACAGGGTTGCTATTACTAGAAATACTTTCTTTTCACTATTTTACTATTTGAATATTCAGATGCATCTTAATTCTTAAATTACTGATTGAAAATGCTTCTTGCAAGTTCCATAATATTACAGAAAAGTAAATAAATCTAAAAGATATGCCTGTGTATCAGTATTTCATTGATTGATTGTTTTCTAACGCTTATCAACCCTTTTCAGATTAATTAAAGCCGCAAAATATTTTTAGATTATAAGCCTATTTTTGTATGAGATAATAACGGTTTATTGCTACAAGCCTTACTAATTAACCCATAGTTAAGAGAGAAGTGGTAGATTCATACCTAATCAGGATTTGATAAACAAACAAGAATTTATAATGTGGATATAAAATGGGGAATCAATTCTATTTTACAATCTTTATTGTTATGGTCCGGTTCCTTGTACCACGGTGATAGTCCAAGGTAGAACCAATAAAGAAGAACTCGAACACAGGTATGGAATAACACAGATATATTACAAACAGGAATATACACAGAGAAGTAGAAAGTGTTACTATGAACAATCAGGTTTAGTAGAGAGAACACTGTAGTCTCGACCAGTATCACTATTCCAATGTCTTGCAGTAATTGTCTGAACGCGACTCTGTTTCGGACTGCCTCTGACTCGACTCTTGACTCGACTTGAACTACTTACTCCTTGCCTACTCCTGAGGCGCAGTATTTATTAAGTATGGAATAGTCCATTATTATTATTATGGGTAAGATCCCATAACAATTATATAAAGTGATCCCTCGATTTTATTTCAATAAATTTATATTACAAAGAAAGTAAATAAATCTAAAAGACATATCTGTGTAGCTAATCAGTATTTCATTGATTGATTGGCTGACTAATTTTCCACGGCTTATCAATGTTTTGCAGGCTATTTAAAGCCATAAACCATTTTTAGATTGTAAGAAATTATTTGGGCAAAATAATGGTTTAGTAATACAGTTATTACTAATTAACCCATAGTTCGGGTGAATGACGTGGATTCGTCCCTTTTCCATTGGTATTTACGAAAGTGAATATAACGAACCCAACTGGAATTAGAACTCCGATATCTTATTTGGAGACAATATTCATTACATCACCTGCACATCCAAGATTACAGCACCTGCTGTTCTCAAGCGGTTCAACATTTCCGAGAATTTAAGAACAGTAACAACTTCAATCACATCACAAATATCTTTCTTAGTACCCCCGCAGGTCCTAGACCTGTCGTTGTCTCTACAGGTTACACTTTACTATGTATTTCCGATTCATTATTTTTCTTTATTCTCTTTTTCTTTTGAATATTATTATTGCTATTATTTTATTTCCTTTGATTTCTGATGTGTACTCATTTCTTACCGGATATGTACTCATTTCTTACTGGATGACCTAAGGTTAGAAATGGCATCATGACATTTTCCACTGGAAAAATATATTTTAGATAGACAAAGCTCTTTGTAAGGTGTGGGCTGTACACGTGAGAACAATTTTTTGTATTTCTTTAAGACATAGGCTTCCAGGAATCCCTTCAATTCGTCTAATGGAATCTTTACCAACCAATCCGATGGCTCCATCTACAACGTGGATTGTTGATATTCCCATGTGCCACAATTTGAGATTTCGATTTCAAGGTCCTTGTATTAGATAGCTTTTTGAAGATCTTCAAAGTTACATTGCAGTCTGTAGGGACTGCCATATCTATAAAGAGGAATTTTTTGTTTGTTTGAGGTCTCTAATAACAATGTCTTGGCGGTTAGTTTTGTTTGTTCTGCTTGTGTGTATTGTGTAGTCCCATAAAATTGTAATAGGTCCTATCTCCGTAGCCGGGTCGGGTTTTTCAGATTCCTTCCCATAGAAATTGCAGGTTTTCCAATGCAGATATTGGCCCCATCCTGTCATGCTGGTTTTTATATTCAGTGGGTGCCAATACCGTGCAACCTGATACAAGATGATCAATTGTTTTTGGATATTTATCATGGAATCTGCATTTCGGGTAAACACAATATTTTAGTATGTTCGCTTGATAATTTCTAGTCAACAAGCACTGATCCTGTGCAACAAGGATAAAACCTTCGTTTTCAGCTTTTAACCCTGCCCTACGTAGCCACTGATGAGTTTGGTATAGGCAGGGTATTGAGCGTGAAGAGGTTTATCTTACCATCTTTTCTGTATCTGGTCGGTTGCCTTTGCTTTCTTTTTTAAGTGTTTTGCAGTTTCAGTCGGTGTATTGTGCATTACTTGTATTTCTTCACCCATTTGAAATTCCATTTTGATCTTGTTGGCTTCCATTATTACGGAATAAAGACGCTTACTACTTTCATGTTCTTTGACACATATCCTCATCCAGTCTTCCGCGGTATCTTTGAAGGTCAATTGTAATTTTGTAGGACATTTCTAGTTGAACTAATCCTCCGCCTCCTTCGAATCTGGGCACATAAAGACGATCAACATCAGCTTTGGAATGATGATGCGTAAGGTAACAAGTGAGAAGCTTTCTCGTTTTGGCGTCTGTTCGCTTAATGTCAGGTGTGGTCCAATTAAGGATGTTAAAACTGTATTGCGCCACAGGGACAGCCAAGGTGTTTATGGCTGATATTCTGTTTTTTTTTTATTTTAAATTCAACTCAGTATTCAGTACCAGACGTATACGACTGTAGTACTCCTTTCTTAACTTCTCCTTCATTTGGGGATGCTGTATACCATCTCCTTCGCTAATTCCTAGGTACTTATAAGCTTCATCTTGTTCCAGTTCCTTAATCCTTGTAACAAAGTCTAAATCTATGGAGGGTGTT